GGGGGGTGGAGGTGGAGGAGTGGCGGGGGGTGGGGGTGATCCAGATTTGCGGTGGACCGGGGGAGGGTGTTGGGGTAAGAAGTGGATGGGGGATAAAAGGGGGGGGTGTGGGGGGGAGCTGTGAGTTGAGGGGGAGCAGATTGGTCCGAGTTGGGCGTGCAGGGTGGGGAATGGATTTCCGTGTTGGCGGGGGGGGGGATGGGGTTGCGCAGGAGTTTGAGTGAAGGTGGGTCGGGTCATGGAGAGGAGGGAGGAGGGTTGGGTGTTGTAGGTGGATGGGGGGTAGGGGGGCCAAGTGGTGCTTGGATGGGGGGGGGGTGGGGGGGGGGGTTGAGTGAGGGGGACAGTTTGTTGGGGGGGTGGATGGTCGGGGTGGGAGGGGGGGCTGCGGGGAGTAGGGGTGGTGGGAGAGCAATGGGGGGGCGAGGGAGGGGAGTCTGGGTGAGTGGGGGAGGTGGGGAGCTGGGATTGGAGCGGAGGGGAGTGGGGGGGATGGTACAGGGGGTCCATGTGAGCGGAGGGAGTCTGGTTGCGTGGGGAGAGGTTACGGATACTGTGCATGTAGGGGGTGGGTGGGGGGAGGGGTTTCAGTGGGAGGGGGGTTGGTTTTGGTGGGTGATCGGTGAGGTAGTGGGGAGAGTGGGGGGGTGGGGGTGAAGAGTGCAGGGGGTTGGGAGGTATGGTGGGGGGGGGGGTAGGGGGGGGGAGGGTGGAGATTGTGGGTGTGGGGTGGGGGGTCGGTGGGGGAGAGGGGTTGGGGGTGGGATGAGTGGATTGGTAGTAGTGAGTTACATCTTGGGAGGGGACGGGTATGCAGAGAGTGAGGGCAAGCTAGGGCTCTGCTGCTGTGCTAGTGACCGGCAGTCAGATGGGTGCATGTAGGCCGGTGGTCAGTTGGGGTCGCGTGGAGCACGGTCGATGGAGGTGCTGGGGGAACGGGCGATCCGGAGGTGCCTGTGGGTGCGCGGCATCCGAGTATGGTTGCTGTGCGGGCGCCGGCATCTGGAGCGGTGCGATAGCGAGAGCAGGCATTCTGGAGGTGGCTGTTGTAGGGACGCCAGCTGTTTGGACGGTGCTGTTGGGGCCTTGGCGATCGGTAGGTGCAGTAAGGGCTCGGAATCAGGAGGTTGCAGTAGGGCCTGGCGCCTTTGTAGGTGTTTGCAGGTCAGCACTTGTGTGTGCTGTGGGCCAGTGCTTGTGGGTGCTGTAGGGCCCATGCTCTGTGGGAGCAGCCGGGTCCATGCACCGGTGGTGGGTTGTAAGGCCCGGCGTCTGTGGGGTTGTAGGCCGCGTGGCAGGCTCAAGTTACCGGGCTCTGGCTGAGTGGGGGCCCGGGAAACAGGGAGCAGCGTGTGGAAACGTTTGGGAGGGGGGGAAAGCCCGTGCTGGTGGTGGTGGCTTACCCTCTCAGGGGCCCGTCGGGGGGTGGCTCCCTCACGAAACAGGATGGAGGCGGGGGCCCTTCCCCTCCCCGGCGGGGGCTGAGGAAAACCGGTGGGGGTGGGGGGTGGGTTCCTCTTTCTGGCAGGGGAAACGGTGGCTTTTTTGGGTTTGGGCAGGGGAGGACCCCCGTTTCGCAGGCGGGGAAGGCCCCAGTCCCCCCTCCTGGGTGACGGCGGGACTTTTTGGAGCAGTGGTGCCCGGGGGGGGCCCACTGCGGCAGTTGTAGGTCCCAAACCGGGGGGGGGGGGGTGGTTTGCGCCCCCTTTCACCCTTTTGCGGGAAACGGAGGCACCCGGGACGTCCGCGAAGGCCGCAAGCCACTGACCCTCCCCCGGGAGGGAGAGAGCACCCAGCCCCCCTTCAGGGGTTCCCCAGGACCTCCGTCGGATGATCGGGGCCCACTACCGCCCGAAAGAGTGGTGGATTTGGCAGGGCGCCGGAGCTAGGCGATCATGCGGCCACTCCGGATGGCCTTCATGTGCAAACATTTTCAAGATTTCAAAACAAATCTGATTTATCTTTTATAAAGGGGGTGAGCAAAACCTTTGGACAGATGGGTGGCGATGGACCCGTGGAATACCTTGGATTTTGCAAATGTGTTTAGATACAGTTCCCCACGCAGCCTACCCCACACGGCAAAATGTGTAAAGGTAAAGTCTACGGGCTTGGAAAAAATCTGTTATGTAAATGTATCGAAAAAATCTGGCTAAAGAGATTGTCATTCAAGAGTAGTAGTGGATAACGATTTCATACTCTGAATGGTCTATGGTGTAACCCCAAGGTTCAGTGTTGGGACCCCTTACTTTTTATATATATATATAAGTGATATAGGGGTCTGAGATTAGAAATTCAATTTCAGTCTTTGCAGATGATACCAAGCTGTTGCAGTGGGAATAACGTCCTTACAGGATGTCTTCAATTTACAAGCTGACCTCAATGCACTGTTTAATTGTGCCACTATGTGGTAAATGAGGTTTAATGGTTGATAAATGTAAGGTTTTTGCACTTGAGGGCTTAAGAATATGCATGCATCATCAATACTCAGGGGGAGTAACAACTGGGGGCATTTTCCTAAATGGTGGAGGAAAGATCTGGGAGTATCTGGTAGAACTCAAGCATTAATAATTGCATGCAATGCCAAGCAGCAGTTTTCTGAAAGCGAAGCAAAATCCTCTCTTATATTAAAAGAGGTATAGACTCCAGAGAGAGTGGTACTCATATACACCCATGTAACAATATTTATTATTAATACCTCAATCTGGAATATACAGTTTTCAGTTTTGGGCATCCAATTCACAAAAAAGAAACATTGGGGAACTTGAGAACGTACAGAGAAGGGCAACTAAACTGATAAGAGGCATGAAGGAGATCGTTAGAGGAACTGAATTTAGCCTCTCTTGAGAAGACGGAGATTAAGGGGATATGATCAACATGTATAAATACATCAGTGGTTCTTATAGTGAAAACTCGGTGTAGAGCTATTCACCCTGAGGTCATCACAGAGGTTGAATAGGTTTTCTCACGTCTGGAGAAAAAGAAATTTAATCTCCAAACACGGAAAGGTTTTTTTCACAGTGAGAGCTGTGAAAATGTGGAATAGGACTCCCTCAAAGAGTTGGTTCTGGTCAGCTCAGTGGATTGCTTCAAAAAAGGCCTGGATTCTTTCTTAGATACACAGAATATAACAGGATACTAACATTTATAGGTAAAAGTTGATCCAGGAAAATATCCAATTGCCTCTCACTGGGGATCAGGAAGGAAATTTTTTTCCCAGCAGGAGCAAATTGGGATCATGCAATTGCTGTGTTTTTTGTTGCCTTCCTACTTGATCAACTGTGGGTATAGGATTATAACTTTTTTTTTCTATGGATCAACTGGATGGAGTTTTTCTGTCTTTATTCAGTCAAACTAACTATATATCAGCATGCTTGTTAAATGAATATCCTTTGTATTCAAGATTGGTGCACTTATGGATGTTTTAATGACACTAGATCCCACAGTCCTTACCAAAAAAAAAATAAAGATGGATGTCTGGACTGAATTAACAGCAGTCAAAACAGATATGGATGTAAGGCTGTTCAAGTTCAGAGAGGAGAAACTAGGCCAGTAGTTATGCATATCCACACCCTTCCTTCTGACTTAAAAAAAAAATGTTTTCTTTGCAAGGGGAAATTGCACTTTGAATAGATACCCCTTGCCCCAAAGCTTGATTAATGAGATGAGGCTGTTTTTTTTTTTCTGCATGTGCTTGGGTATATTTTACAAAGTACTTTACCACATTCACAGTTCACTAAACTTTGGAGTAAATTCCCATGTAAAGTGAACAGTCTATATTTGCCTTTAGTATATAACTAACCCCAGTGTGTGCAGGCAGATAAATAAAACTGCCAGTGAGAATCAAATGACTCTTGCCAATGGCCACTGCTATTTGATCATGTGTATGTAGCCTGAGTTGGTGATCTGATAGATTTTTATTTTAGATATAGGAAAATAGTTCAAGAAAAGAGTTAGACATTTTCTTAGCAAGGTCTGTGGGGTTTTTATAAGTACTGTTATGTATTCAGAAGATCAATAAGCTTAAGCTTCATTAAGCTTACTGTAACTTTTAGATTCTTACTAAACTGTTATTATACTCAGGGGAAAAACGGATGCTAATGGCTAGGTGCACTTACAATTTCTAATGTTATTACATTAAATTATTTATTCACTCTCTCCCTACTAGCCAGGGATTGCTGATTGTCTTCAATAACAGCCTGAATTCCATTTCTGCAGTGGATCCTATTGCCAGCTGGATCCCTATGGAGGACCACCACAGCATTTTCTGCACTCCCCGCTAAGACTACACTGTTGCATCCTGCTGCTATGTATATGCTTACAATCAGCACAGGAGAAGCAGGGCATGACTCAAAAATTTATTGAAATGCCCTCTTCACACCACTCACCTGTTTTGATGGACAGAAAATCTGTGATATTGCTAATCACCAAGTGCATTAGTATACCAGACTCAATGAACCATGGGACATGTAGACCCCGCACACTGGATGCTGGGGTAGGTAGTGTGTGCACATTCCTGCATGGAAGTGAAGAGAGAAGTGCAGAACCAGAAGAGGAAGTGGTGCCAGCTGGGAAAAGTAAGAATAAATAGGTAAAATTTTGTATTTTTTAAAAAAACAAGAAATTGTTAACAGTAGGATTAACATTTAAATGCGTCAGATATTTTTTTGTGGGGATTACTTTAACTTTATGAAAATGTTTAACTGTTTTTGTGCACCACCACCTCAGTTTTGTACTTTATATTTACATTTATACACGTATACATACTTATGTAACATGACTACATTTTATCAAGTCTGTTCTAAATATCATATTGAATCTGTAAACTAACATTTAAGATCCTGACACTTTCAGTTAACACAGTAACCCATACATTTCATTAATGCACCACTCAACTATGTGCCAAGGTACAGAAAAAGTGTATTGGTTGTGGCAAGGGAAAACCCTGGCCCCAATCACACCTGATGGTTTTTGATTTATGATCTATTTTTTTTTTTTTTAAGCCAACCACCACATGTTTAACCCACAGCAATCATCAACATTCCAAGCTACCAATACCCCGGTATCTATCCAATATGGCACTGGCAGTTTGTCTGGGTTTCTTGGATATGACACAGTGCAGGTAAGATCTCGCTATTCTTATGAATAAAGAACATCTGCCCTGGGGTAAAATTAATCTAGTAATATTTGATTGGGTCAGCATTTACAACGGATTGAATGTACATGCAGTTTCACAGAATGAATAGTTATGCATTTTATTTTATAAATACTCTCATTATGTAACAGAACATAGTTTAAAATCAATTTAGAGATTTTAGGATTAAAAGTTATTTTGGTCTTTTTATACCCTCAGGTCGGAAACATTCAGATCACTAACCAGATTTTTGGTTTGAGCGAGTCTGAACCTGGATCATTCTTGTACTATTCTCCTTTTGATGGAATCTTGGGATTGGCATTTCCAAGCTTAGCATCTTCTCAAGCTACACCTGTTTTTGATAATATGTGGAGCCAGGGTCTCATCCCTCAGGATCTCTTCTCTGTCTATCTAAGTTCGTGAGTGAATATTGCTATTTTAAAGGTTGCATTCAAGGTCCCCAATTTGCAACTTGGACTTAAAATGTTAACGTTCCAATTTCAGTCCACAACCGCAAATATAATTTTGAGCAGAGGTAATATACTGTACTCAAAGAGTAAAAAGCATGAAAGTTAAAGTAAGGTAAGGTGAAACAGTATAGTACAAGTGCTAAAAATAAACACATACACTCTTAAAGCAAAACTGTGTCCTCACTGCATGGGTTAACTGATTGTCTTGTCCAGGGGGCCCCCCGAAAGGCTATACTTACCCAATCCTTTGAACCTCCCAAAAATGGCACTCCCCCACATCCTGCGTTGGATGGTTCTTGCTGTCCTCAAGTCTGTAGTTGGTCTATGGGTGTGATGATGTCAGGAACAGTCTATTCAGAAGACTGCTAGTGTGCAAGGGGGCAGAAGCTGCAGGGACTGGTCTTGTGCTTGGAGGATTGGTGGATTAGGTGAGTGTATCTCTGTTTTTATCACCCCTGTAGAAAAACGAGCCAGCCCCACTGCATGCTACAAAAATAAATTTGCCCAGAATTCTGCTTTAAGGGTACTGTGTTGCAAGGTAGTAAATGAAGTTAAATATTGCTTTTAAAATAACTTAGAAGTGTATGCACAAGTAACACAAAACCATATTGTTTTGAGTTTGGTCAAATTCTTCAGTATAGATACAACATCTTTAGAACAACTATTGGGACCTTTATGCTAAAAGTGCTGAGTTTGAAGTTGGTAATCCAGAAAGGCTCCAGTGTCAAGATATAGCCACAATCAATTCTCTTCTTTGCCCCTATTTGCTGTACATACTGCTATTGGTGCCTGCAGTTGTAATAGAGAGTTCCACACTGCAATCAATGCAGTTAATACTAAAATATAAAATAGCTACTCTCCACAGAGAAAGTGACATTTCTAATACATCTATGGAATATCTAATTATTTTATGAAGGTAGAACATTTGCTATATTGTATTTCTAATAAATTGAAATGAAATTAGAGATCTGTCAGGTATTGAAACATGACATGTCCCTAAACATTTTCCTAGTGTGGACTGTAGAGGTCATAGCGATGAAGAGTAGGCAAATGTAAAGCACATTAGCCTTTCTCAATTTACTTGCATATGTTCTGAAAAGTTTCACTATTTAAAATGAAACAATTGAGTACTGTCCGTGATACTTTTTTTATTTGCACTAACATACAATTTTGAGGACAAGCTTTCGGGGAATGTCCCCTTCTTCAAGGTCTAAGCAGTACAACTCACAAAGTTAGCAGAATGTTAGAAGAGATGAAAGAAAAAAAAAAAAGGAGGCTAGAGATAAGATGCAGTCAAAGCGAGGGGGGGGAGGGGGGGGGATACTACACTCACACAGAGGGAGTCAAGCTACAGCTAATAGTCATAAAAATATCAGATAATGATTGAGGAATCCCATGTCCAAATTAAGGCCCTTATCTCTTGTGTCAAATAGAATTATCATACAGATACTATTGCTATATTGATGATATTTTCATCATATGGACAGAAGGTGAAGAAAACCTAAAACAATTTTACTCACTGATCAACACTTTTCATCCATCAAATCAAACTAAAAATGGAATACTCAAACACACAGGTCAACTTCCTAGACACCACAGTATACATCAGGGATGATACGCTTCACACCTCAATATACAGGAAACCCACTGACAGATGCAACTACCTCCACAGTTCCAGCTTCCACCCCCAACACACGAAACGTGCCATCATGCACAGTCAGGCCATCAGATACCACCGAATATGTTCTGACCTAGAGAGAAAGAGATAAACATCTCGGGACACTAGCAGGCTCCTTCCATAAGAAAGGTTACAAGGACAAAACTATCAACACCGGCATAAACACAGCCTTGAGAACCCAAAGAGAAAATCTGCTTCAGTACAAGGAGAAAAAAACAAACAACCATGTACCTCTAGTAACCACATACAACCCAGCACTAGAAGGGATAAGAAAAATAAAGATTTACAACCCATCATAACAGAGGATGGAACTCTGAAAGAAATATTCCATCAACCCCCAATACTGGCCTTCAGACAACCCCCTAACCTCAGAAATAAACTAATCAGTAGGAAACTTCCTTCTGATAATGATGTCACAAATAATGGAAGCAAACACTGCAATAAGAAACGCTGTAAACTGTGCAACCAAATCAATCCATCAAAAAGTGTCAGACACTCAAAAGGGATCTTCAATATCTCCGGATCATACAGCTGCACCTCCAGTAATGTTGTGTATCTTATCCAGTGCAGAAAATGCAGCAAAGGATCTTATGTTGGCAAAACAGGACAGAAGTTGCAAACAAGGATAAATTTGCACAGACATACCATCAAGGAACATAAGGAAGATGACCTCTGCACACCTGTAGAGTACTTAAAGGAAATTTTCAAATCCATTCAGGAAAGAAAAACTTTTGAACAAAGAAGGATAATTCTATTTGACACAAGAGATAAGGGCCTTAATTTGGACATGGGATTCCTCAATCATGACTATTATTACTATTATGACTATTAGCTGTAGCTTGACTCCCTCTGTGTGAGTGTAGTATCCCCCCCCCCTCCCCCTCGCTTTGACTGCATCTTATCTCTAGCCTCCTTTTTTTTTTTTTTTTTTTTTTTTTTTTCCTTTCATCTCTTCTAACATTCTGCTAACTTTGTGAGTACTGCTTAGACCTTGAAGAAGGGGACATTCCCCAAAAGCTTGTCCTCAAAATTGTATGTTAGTGCAAATAAAAAAAGTATCACGGACAGTACTCAATTGTTTCGCAAATGCACTAATACGGCTACAATCAACTCAAACACTATTTAAAATGCTAAATTTTGCCAGCTGACTAACTTTAATATAATTAATTGAAGGCTTCAAAGGATGCAACTTTTATTCGTATGATGATGGTGAGTGAACATGAGCGAGTGCAATTGGTCCACTATATAAAGCAATGGCTATTCACCAATCTGAAAAGTGCAGCGCTCCCACAAATATGCAATTGGCAATATATTCAAAAAAGGTATTAAGTGCACAATATAAATAAAGTGCTATCCGTGCAATCCGTGTAGTGTGAAATCAATAAAAGTCGTGATCTTCATATGATTTCAATAAACATATAAATAAATAAAATAAATAGGTAATTCAAGAAGCAATAAATTCAAGTTAAATTTATTAATAATACGTACACAATATGATATTAAAGTGCTATTTGTGCAATATGTGAAATTAAATAAAAGTCCATGATATTCATATGATTTCCAATGGGTATATAAATAAAGCGGGAAATTCAACAGGAAACTTTCTTCAATATGCAATATAATTCTGTGCCCAAAGTGCAATGGTGCATGTGTCTTTAAAAGTAATCCACCACTTCTTATGGGTGTGCACTCACCAGAACTTTGATGTATACAGGCATTGGTTACAATCTGTCACATCTGGGTGCAGGGGTAGTAGGACAGTTTAAGGGTTAATCCAGCATCCTCAAAGTACCGATGGTGCATGCCTCCTTAAATCTGGGGAAGATTGCAGATCCTGAGCACATCTGAAGGTGGCATCCAGCAGCATGAATTTCCAGGGCTCCAGAGCCCTGGAAACTTCCCACTTTATTTATATACCCATTGGAAATCATCTGAATATCATGGACTTTTATTTGATTTCACATATTGCACAAATTGCACTTTAATATCATATTGTGCACGTGTTATTAATAATTTTAAACTTGAATTTATTGCTTGTTGAATTACCTATTTATTTATATATTTATTGAAATCATATGAAGATCATGGACTTTTATTGATTTCACATTACATGGATTGCACGGATAGTACTTTATTTATATTGTGCACTTAATACCTTTTTTGAATATATTGCCAATTGCATATTTGTAAGAGTGCTGCAGATTTGTGAATACGTTAACTGGGGCTGTTACCTATACCTTTTAGTGCTAGCGGCTACCTGGTATAATTATTTAATATTTTACATGTAGTGCTCGCTTATATATTTCTTTAATAATGGCTATTCACTGATAAGGATTTTGATAAGGATTCACCATTAAAAATATCCAATGTCAAAAGACAGCTTGGGGCTACTATTGAGATCTGGAATATAGATTTTCCATTGGAGAAATTAGTTTTAAAGGTTAAGTTCACCTTTTTGGGCAGAATTTCACTTATCATATTTAGAATCCTTTTATAATGTCCTTTTTGCCCAGCAATCCCAATGTTCTTATCTCTCACTTACCTCATCCACAGAAACTTTGAAATTTCATGTTTCTGTTTGAGTTTCACATCCCATCATTCACTGAGTTGCTGCATCACAGAAAAGGGCATGATAGGACTAGTGTTACCAGTCTAGACCACACCTCCCTCATAACTATACCATCCCTCTGTGTTATTTCCAACCACTTTTCTGTACAATCTGATTGCACAATCTCCATCTACCATCAGCTGTGAAATGTAAGAGTCTGTCTAATTTGATACAAATTTAATAGATTGTTCAGGTGGGTCATCCTACCAAAGGAGGGTCCTTTGGTAAATATAAAATAAATTGTACAGAGATTGTATAATCAGATTGTATAGTGTATGGCCATTTTTATACCAGTACATAGGAGGGAGTGGATGGAGACACTCAGCTGTCAAGCCCCATTCACATTTTCACATAGTGGGTACATATGTTCCCACATGCATTTTTTTTTGAGGGGGCATCTTGGAGCATTTCTATTCATCATGCATAGAGCATGTGGGACAATTGCCCCAAAGAAGCTCCCAAACTGTTTTTAGAGTGGAGCATGGTACATTGTTTAATGTACTTCTTGTTTTATTTGCCATGTTTGCCATGCGTTCGGAAACACATAAATGTGAATGGAGCCCCTTTGCTCATGTGTAAACACACCAGTTTCACTTCCAGGCCCCATTCACACCTAGTGTAGTGGGAATGCACTGTTTTGTTGATTTTGTCCTGCCACACACATAGCTCAGCCCACTAATTTAAAAAATCAGAAGTAAATTACTGCCATCCACTGATCATCACATCAATAATGATGGTACACAGTATGCCTATAACTTCCAGAATTACTTTTTGTTGTTGCTCCACAATAAATTTAATACAGAATTCTCCGTTAGTTTACAGTTAGAGACATTAACCATTCTTAGGCCAGTACAGACAACCAATAATTCTCTTTATTCTTTAAATTCAATTTCCAAATGTGTTTATTATTCAAGCTGTAAAGAGAAAAAAAATTCTGTCATTCCAGTTTGCTATAAATATTAAGTTTAATTTTACATGTATTGTTTTTCCTCTTCTAGTCAAGGGCAGAGTGGCAGCTTTGTTCTCTTTGGTGGTGTAGACACCTCTTATTACACTGGAATCGGGGGGAAATCTGAACTGGGTTCCTCTCACTGCAGAAACATATTGGCAGATAACGGTGGATAGGTGAGAACAAACATGACTGGAGCTATCGTGTGTTCCATGGTGCTTGCACATATGCAAGAAATAGAATGTTTATCACACTGATTAAACTGTAAAAAAAGCTCAGAGTGGGTCAATCATCTATTTAAATATATTTTGTTTTGTGCATAGCATTTCCATTGGTGGTCAGGTCATTGCATGCAGTGGCTCCTGTTCAGCTATTGTTGACACTGGAACATCTCTTCTGGCTGGACCATCTACCCCTATTGCAAACATTCAGTACTACATTGGAGCAAGTCAGGATTCAAATGGACAGGTAATTCTTTTGTAGCTTTTGTGCTGAACTAGGCTGGAGACACTAAAGTATAACTAAAGGGAAAAACATTTTTTGTTTTGGACAGAGTGGAGAGGGAATACAATGCTTGTCAGTTTTTAATACTATCTGTGCCCCCGTTAAGGAGTTTCTCCCTCACCATTTGTCCTCTTTACCACTATCATTGAAAGTAAAAGAAAATTCCAAATTTTGGGTTGTTCCCAGAAAAGTAATATAGGGGAAATCTTCTGATAGAGACACCAGTTTTGGTGACCTGGGGTCCCCAAGGAATTCCCTTGACTTTCAGGGATTTCCTCTCACTTCCAGTTTGCTATAGTACAGGAAGTGAAGGGAAATCTCCACAATTGGACACAGATGGCAAAAAAAAAATCTGACAGGGCTTATAACCCTCCCTTGCTCTATTCAAAATGAAAAATAAATTGCCTATAATTCTACTTTAGGATGTGTGTGTGTGTATAGCCTTAACTTGTATTTATGTATGTTTACATTCTGTTTTTAGTATGTCATCAACTGCAACAATATCAGCAACATGCCAACTGTTGTAATTACAATCAACGGTGTCCAATATCCACTGCCAGCTAGTGCATATGTGCGGCAGGTAGGTTCTTCAGTGTAATACTGAAAAACATATTTTAGATCTTTTATCAGGACCATAAATATGTGTGATGGGGCCTTTAGCTTCTACTGCAATACCAATTCCTATAATAATTCCGAATAGTAATTGCTTTCCTAACATTTGTATATAAGATTCTAAACTACATATACATTCATTGTATGCAAATTTATTTGCATATGCATCACTCTGTAATTTGCTTCCAGACTTCACACTACACACATCAGGCACATGGCTACAGTTACATCTTGTTCGCCATGTTTATGATAGCATGACATTCTTTGCTAATACATGTTTTCAACATTCCACAGAGCCAGCAAGGCTGCACCAGTGGATTCCAGGCCATGAACCTGCCAACCAGTTCAGGAGATCTGTGGATTTTGGGAGATGTATTTATCCGAGAATACTATATGGTGTTTGACAGAGCCAATAATTATGTAGCAATGGCACCAGTTGCATAAAAATTAGATTTGCATTTTCTCTATTATTCCCTTATATCCTCTCTATCAAAACTGTGTAGCATTGTGCTACATATTATTGCAGATGTTAAACTGTTCTGTTTTGATAAACAGTCTTTCTAGACTGAAAAAGTGCAGTGCAAAATACACAGTATCAGTACAACACCAACCCTGGCTTGCATTCAATTAAAATGTAACATTAGGATAATAATTTACAATAAAACATCTTTGAGCATTATGAGTAATGTTATATTATAAAAACGTTATAGTAGATCCTTTTAATTCTGTACAAAATGAGCTACAGATTTTTATTAACGTGTATGCCATGCTTTTTTTTACTTTCTAATGAGTTGGGAAGGCTCAGAATCTTTGCCAAAGTTACATCGCTATCTATTTCCCTGCTGGGGAGATTCAGCCTCTCCTGAGACCTATGACCATTGTCACTGATTCCAAAAGTATGGCAAAATCCTAATTTTGATGGCAAAATGTTGTTTTATCATAGCACAAGGTGAGAGGAAATGTATCTATGAGGACAATTATTCCTCTGACAACTGTCTAATTGATTTTTTTTCACTTCCTGTTAAAATGAATGGAAATCACCTAAGCAGACAAAACAGCAAAAATGAACCTGATAGAGCTTTAACTCCTTCCCTCTTCTATCCTAAACTAATCTAAAGTGTTGGTTTTTCATACACTTTACCACGAAAACAGACATGCAAGCAACATATCTATTAATGATAAATGGAAACGTTAACCTTACCAATAAGGTTACAGGCATATCTGCCATTTCAAGTACAATTGGACACTTTGTAACCACACTAACCATGGCTGCCCCTGCCCCTGCCCCTAGACCTTAGAGTGGAACTGCACTGTATCTGAGCACCACAAACCAAAAATGCTATTTAATTCATTTTTAATATTCAAAGCAAACTCACCCATTCACCCATGTCTCTGTGCTTTATTTTGCTGAGAAATGATTTTGAAAAACACTCCTGGCATTTCAGGAAGTGGCCATCTTATGTAAGTGCAGATACGTTATGTATCATTTACTTCCTGGAATCTATCTGCCTGCCTCTAGCTCAGGTGTAGGCTGAGCTGAGAACTCTCCCTCCTCTCCTGAAGATTGCTGGGATATGTGACATCATTTGCCTAGGCATGGAAAACAGGAAGTAACTAAAGAAATGTAAAAAAAAAAGTTTAAAACAAGTATACATGATATACTTTCCTATCTATGTACTAATGTTAGCAGCATAAGGATTAAAAATCGTCTATGTTGATTGAGAGAGTGAAGTTCCGCTTTAACCCACACTGGCTAACTGGGATGGTTGCTTTGGAAACAAAGGGGAGGGGTTTCCAACTTGCTGGAGTGAAGAAGAGGAACATTTAGTGAATAACTAGTTTTCTTTCATTAAATAAACAAAGTGATGCAAGGCTGCTAATGAATGGACATTAAACTGTCACAGTAAACAATACAAGTGAATATACTGTGCTCATAATCATAATATGAATAAATTACTAAAAAACATAAGTGAATAAATATAAATAACATCCACTAATGAATAATGTGAATAAAGATGCTATAATGCTTTCAATAAATAAGTTCATATGTTTCCATGATCCAACACCATGACTTCAATTCTGTGGTGAGTGTGAATTTATATGCAATAAATAGTGCCACTGCGTATTATTTAACCACTTGCCTACTGGGCACTTATACCCCCTTCCTGCCCAGGCCAATTTTCAGCTTTCAGCGCTGTCGCACTTTGAATGACAATTGCGTGGTCATGCAATGCTGTACCCATATGAAATTATCATTTTTATCATTTTAACATTTTTATAATCACAAATAGAGCTTGTTTTGGAGGTATTTACTTGCCGCTAGGGTGTTTTATTTTTGGCGCTATAAAAAAAAAAGCATAAAATTAGAAAAAAAAAGTTTTTCTTTGTTTCTATTATAAAATTTTGTAAACAAGTAATTTTTCTCCTTCACTAATGTGCATTGATGAGGCTGCACTGATACTCAGCACTAATGGGCACTGATAGACAGCACTGATGAGGTGGCATGGATAGGTGGCACTGATGAGCTAATACTGATGATGCTGCACTGATATGCAACAATGATGGGCACTGATAGGCGGCACTGATGAGCACTGATGGGCGGCACTGCTGGGCACAGATGGGTAGCACTGCTGGACAGCAGCAGTGATGGGTGGCACTGATGGATGGCACTGCCGGGCACTGGTGGGTGGCACTGCTGGGCACTGGTGGGTGGCACTACTAGGCACTGATGGGCACAGGTGGGTGGCACTGCTGGACACTTGTGGGCAGCACTGCTGGGCACAGGTGGGCAGCACTGGTGGGTGGCACGGATCATCAGGGCACTGATCATCAGTGCCCTAATGATTGGTGCTGATCCGTCCTCTGACAATTGCTGGTTATTGGCAGTACTTTCCTAATGCTTTAACAGCGTGACAAAAGTGCAGCCAATAACTGGCAACTACATTTACCGGAGATCTGCTGTGTTACTGGACACAGCAATCATGATTGGCCTTTAACCACATCACTTGATCAGCTGTGTCCGTAGGACACAGCAATCATGGAGGTCGCCGGGTGCGCGTCCCCGGGGGTGCGTGGGAGGGTGCGTTCTGGGAGGACATCATATGACGCCCTCCCAGAACTGGACAACTGCGCTGTAGCCGTCATTTGGCTATAGCGCAGTTGGCAAGTGGTTAATAAGACATCTCCACACATCCAGACCTCACGATATCTCCTTTATCTGCTACTCTTCTCATATAATGGATACTCTTAAGATGGTATTGGAAATCCTCCGTTACAGCGGATACCAGTCACCTCCAAAGCATGTAACAATCGCATATATTTAATGAGACATCTCCTCAGATCCGGACCTCACAATATCTCCTTTAGCCACTAGAGGGCTAACAACTCCTCCTCCCATGTAATGGATAATATTAAGGTAATAGTCAAGGCCTGGACTGAGCGAAGTATAAGGGAGGGCCAGCATGACTGGGGCGTGCAGACGAGGCGGAGAGTGTAATTTGGGTAGAGTATAGGCAAGGAAAAAGGGGATGGGGGGTGGTTACTTACTTGATTGGTGTACGCAGCATTGAGGGTGGTCTTGCAGGATTTGAAATGGGGGGTTGTGTCTTGTCGGAGTCAGTCGGAGCTTGTGCCATCACGGAGGTGGTTTCTCCCGCCCTCCCGCCCTGAAGTTGGTTTGTATTCTGTTTGTTGTGTTATAGTTTTGTCATTGTGTTTGTTCCGGTGTTGTTTTGCTGTTTGGTGGTTGTTCGAGGTGTTTTTTTTATGTGGGTTCATGGCGTTTGTTCAAGGTTCAGGACAGCTGTTGTATCCCGAAGTGTTTGTTCGTTTGTCATGGCAGCTGGCAGGGGTCGATGGGTCTTTGAAGGCGGTGGTGGAGTGACAAGTTGAGGAATTATGGGTTGGGCCCATCGTAGGTATGGGTGTCCCTTCCCAATAAAAGGTCATGTTGGTAATGTGGGAGTTCATTTGGCTGTATCTGGGTTAAGTAACGGTAGTATTGTCCCCGAGTGTAGTAGCGGCTGGGGGCCTTTCATTGGGTATCAGATACAGCCGAGTT